TCTTGTAATTACCCAGCAATGATCTGCTCCGCGTTTTGATTCCAATTAAAATATTTATAAGCTAAAATAAAAATATCAATCATTACAAGTAAAAAAAAGTACCTCTGGTTAGTTATTTACATGTATTCTTTAGGAGACCCAAACCAAACTAAACAACAACATTCACATTTTGTCACCTTGGACTCTGTCAAAAAATAAATTGTTTTTTGTTTTTCCAAAAAAAAAAAAATCAAAATCAATCAATTTGCATCTGTCCTACCAAAAAAAAACCCAATATATAGGATAAATAATTAATGTGTACACGTTGATCAAATCACAAACTTCATTTTTTTAATTTTTTTAAAAACAATGCCAGATGACAGAAATCAGAAAAGAAAAAGAAGCAGACAAACCGCTCTTGGTGAAATTTCTGGGTAAGTATTTTAAGGATGGTGGTGGTGGTTATCACCTGCCACTTGTCATCACTCTAGTTAATAAATAAATAGAAAATAAACAGATAAAATAAGAATAAAAATAAGAAAATAAAAATTAAAAATTCGAAATTATAGGGCTGCAGCTAGCAGCTGTTAGTTATGGAGACTAAAACTTTTTTTTAATATTTGTTTGATAGTCTGTCACCAAGAAGTGAGAATGACAAAGAAAACGATTATAATAATAATAATGAAAAGGTATTCATTTCAATAAATTAATATCTGTTATTTGATAATGCTTAATATTTATCTCTCTGCATAAACAATTACTCTCTTTAGTGCTTAATCAAAAAAGTCCAAGACTTGGAAAAAGAAATCTCTGAATTAAAAAAAAAATTAGAAGAAAAACAAGGCAAATATTTCATGATGCAAACACTGGAATGATGATATATACATATTTATTTTGTTTGATATACTGCTTATGATGTTTAATAACTTGTACTTTTCCACGTTCACTTCCATCTCTTCATTCTAGAATCCTCATTTGAAGGTATTTTGACAAAGATTTTAGAAGGTGCATATCCTGCAAAAAACATGACATCCAATTATATTGCAATGCCACTAAAAGAAAGGAACACTACACAAGCCCTAAAAGTGATTAATGATAATATAAAGAAAGCAATAAACCACATTTCATCAAAAACTGATTATAACTTTCTTGTTTGCAGTGGTGCATCAGGGATAGGTATTCTTTCTTTGTTTACATACAAGCTATATATGCATTTGTTGCATCTTACACATCATTGTTAACCACATGTTTTTTTCATTAGGAAAAACGAGATGGGGAAGAGAATTGTTTAATTCTCTTGAAAAAGATTGCCAACTTCCAAAACAACTTGCTATTGATAATATCAAACCATATTATTTATATTTATTTTTAGATTTTATTAAGGATACTAGATTAGCTGAGGATGACCAAAACTTACCCTCATCAGTAATTCTTGGTCTTCAGATTGCTTACATTTACTTCGTTTACAATAAGTATTCCATGACATTTCCTACCTTCCTACATCTTACCAAACATCATTCAGATAAATTTAAGATTGACTTAGTATTTAATGCAATTTGTGGTAATCTTAGACTCAAAGAAAATGAACAACTCATTGTGCTGCTTCATATTGATGAATGTCAAGAGATTTTTAATTTTGAAAACTTCTGGAATGGACTTTATAGCAGTGTAAAAGGACTTTTTAAAACAATGATGCATGACCTAGGATCTTTAATGGCTGGAATTCATTCTGGATATTTCGTGCAAACATTCTTGTCAGGGACAGCTTTACAAGATATCACAAAAAACAAAAAACCAACTGATTATTCATTTAGTTTTGTTGATTGTCCACTATTAACTATGAAAGCAATTCTTGAAATTACTGAACATTTTGCTAGGAAATATGGTGATAAAGAACGAAATTGGATGACTTGCACTCCATTTCTTCAGCTCTTGAATGACTAGGGTTTGTATTCATGAATATCATAAGGGGGTCACACAGGGTCACACACTATTAAAATCAAGTGATCAACTCAT